GCTACATCCATGAGACAACCAATCAGCTGACAAGCTGATCAGCAACGGAACAGAGTCGTCGCTACTAAAATAAATTGTAGGTTATTTGACATGCCGCAGAGGATTCTTCTCTCCAAACTCATTAAGTATCGTTTTAGTGGTGATAAATAGAAATACAAATTCTATCTCACACGAAGAGCCTTCCATATGCCCTGCCGTTTACATCGTAACCAAGTAGGCGGGCTTGTGCGCCTCTGCTTGGATGATTGTTCCGTCCAAGGTTACCGTTTACATTGCGGGTATGCCAGCGACATATTAGCGGCATGTTTCATATACGCATAGGCGTACCAGCGACAGCGGCAGGTATACCAGCGATATGTTTCACTAATGCACTATTCCCTGAGTGCTTGCACTACGCGCTATGATAATCACAACGTTCATACTCACACTGACAACATTCATACCCAATCAACACGCGAAAATAGCATATGCCCACCATCGCAATCATGGTAAATGTAGGCGTCAAAGTATCATGCAGTTTAAATGGAGGTGTTGGGCTGCACTTCAGCACAGCTTTACCTCGCAAATCTTGCGTAAATCATTGCGAATATCTTGGTAGACTTGCCAAACCCTAGTAAACCAATATCAGCCGATCATGGAACCTAAGCAGTGAACCGCTTCAGCCAACCATTTTTAGATTCGTCATGCTGGCCATAGCACAGCATTATGGTGTTTTGAATGTTAGCATTATTGGTGCGGGAGGCTTTCTGTGCTTAATGATCTCGGCTGAACCTTTCCAGATTTTCACTTGCAGAATCGCACAAAATATATAAGAGGCGTTAAACGTGTTAGTGGTGGGAATGTGGCATATTGCACACAAAGATATCGCTGATGACAAATGACACCTCGTGACCGCTATATTTAACCAGCTGTTTTAACTGGGTGCTGATGTGTAATTATCATGAAATATGTTGGAAAATCACTCATCACGTGTTGCGTGGAGCCTGGTGTATATGATGATAAACAAACTACGCAATTTCCATCCTTTACCTTTTGCTGAGGTGCATTATCAATGAACATAATTTTAAGTGCTTTCGGCCGTATTCACCTCTGCTGGCAAATAATATGAAAAATGAAATGAGTGCCCACGGATCAATCCAGCATGCAGTTTTCTTTAGCTCGCTGAGGTGACAAGAGCACAAAAACATCATTTTTGAATTCCTATACTCATGATTTACAATCTTAGCTGTTCATCGCTTCAGGTACACGTCTGAAGCTTTTCATTTGCACAGTTTTACAAAGCACAGCCTAGGAAAAAGGCATTTGATATTCTGTTGATACCGAATGAGATATAACAGGTGCAAAACAAGACATTAGATATCCTTCACTGTGTACATGCCACCAATGAAGTATATCAATAAATAATCGCAACTTCTGAGTGTTGTTTTTTATGATGCGATGAGAGTTGAAATGCTGTTCTGCCGTAACTATAGTGAATGTTTTGGAAATACAAGCCATCGCATGTTGAACGGGACGATTTTACGTATACATGTGCAGTTTTGGTGTTTGTATATGAGGAAAAAATTGCAACTCAGATGTAAAATCAACATATGACCACAAAGTACACCACAATGGCTCAGGTCATGACTTACTTCTGTAGGTAGATTTTGCAAATTACATACTGAGCTAAAAAAGACAGTTTTTGAAGCAATTTTGCTCACAGAATTCGAAAACTCCACTGAAAACATGCTGCGCTATCATTCTATGCATAATGAAGTCACAGTAGGTCACGTGAGGACATGCAAGGTTATATGACCTTATTCGAGGTCAGTGACCTGTGTGGCCAATAGCGGAGATGATAGACGAACGAATGTAACGCGTGTAACCACCTCCTTATTGCTTTTGTGGTGCTGTGGACAGCATCGTTTCATGAGCCGATGTGCCTGTTCTCATTTTGTTACAAATACTTCGTCAAGCGTCAAAGGGACTACATAATGTATAGTTTAACATAAAATAAATATCATGTAAAAGGACATGTATAATGTAGAAAACAGTTATGCGATCTCGAGCATCTGTACATGCACAGCACATTGTTTCTGACCATAGAAGAACATTGTACTGGTCACATAGACGCGGTTAGCACTGGATTTTTTTCGATTGGATGGTCTATAGATTTGACCTATGTTGATCCCAGATAATCTTAAGCTCAGCTTAGCATTTATTTGGTATCTGGAAGTACTTTGTCTCCTAGTTGCACCTCATGAAATAAACTTACTCAGAAACACAGTTGTAGGAGAATCGTTCCTTGTAGGCTATTAGTAGACAAATTTTGAACGGTGACCTGATCTGACCTGATCCTTGTGAGGAAACACAATAGTCGGAATGAATCCCCACAGTTTTAAGCGCTTATTTCCGTGAACTCAATAGAAGTCTTGAAGTGCTAACATATGTTTCAACTGCATCTATCAGAACTACTGACTTTGCTCTTCCGTGATCTCAGGTGACCTCAAATTTGACCTGAGGTCAAACATTTGGTGTGCATTCCTCACGCTTTTACGAGGCCTCACAACACGATCTTTGTTTCCTTATTCGCACGACATCCGGAAGTTGGAAATCCCAGGGAAGTCAACTTTTACCTCGCCGCGCGCGGTTGTCTCGGACCTCTGCCGGGCGTTGGTTTAGCTGTTGCTAAGGTTTATTCTTAATTACTAGTCATTTTGGAGTGTATTATCATAAACTTGATATTTCTTGCGCTCTGCTCCATCGCTGCCTGTCAGTGTTATACGTCTTCTGGTGGCACTAGCGTTCTCGTTAAGCGTACGTCTCTAATGTGTTCATATGGGGTTTGTTCGAGACGTTGATGAAACAAGTCCCCCCAAATATGTTACAAAGTACTGAGTGATAATGTTTGGTATACAATAATTCTTATCGCATTTTACGCGCTCGCCCGCTATTGCGGTGGCCACGATTGCGGTTTCTGCTATATTGTAACCCAGCATAACAACAGGGTCGCCGCGGCCACGTGTTTAGCGCCAGACGGTAGCAGGCCGGCTCGTTCTTTGGCGCCGCTGAGTCGGTTTTTCCTGCGACCGTCTACCCCGGAACCGGCGCCGTGACCACCCCGGGCGAACAGCACCCTGCCTGACAACAGGTATTCTGGCGCCGCCGGGGCGTTGACACCCTGCCAGCCCGGCACCAGTGCTGCCATCTGTGCAGCGATCCCGACACGCGGAGGCGTCGGCCGAGCCGTGAGCGATTCCACGGAAGCGAAACGTTCGTAGAGAAAGTGCCCCACCTTTAGCGTGGGGCACTTTGTCATCTGTTATGAATATAGATAGCACTGGTAAGCGGAACCGCACCTCTACCGGGATATCATGCGCAGATCTATTTTATTCACTTTCGAGTCCAAATTAGGCGGTCAGCATTTCAAAACAGCGCTGAATTGTGTTTATAATGCATTGGACGACTCTGGCGCACGCGAGACGGCGTTCACCGTTGTAAACTTCGCAATCCTTTTGCGTGGGTGTTGGGTTTTGCTCATCGCATGCAAATTGCAAATCAAAGCTTTCAAGATTTTAAGACAACGCGGGCCACAAGACATTGGAATCGCAGCACATTCGCAATTTTAGGGCATATTATTCGATCCAAGTCTGATTTTTTGCCTATCAGCACGTGGTCAGCATTGCATTACAGTGAAGAGTCACTATTATTTGGCTGTGAACAAGTGACTTATTCAAATCGCAATCAAATCAGGATATTGGCATTTATGCTATGACGCCTCCATCCTGAGCCACCCTAAAAGATGATAATTTAAGTCTTTAAGAAATTTAATATTTGAATCACTGATCTGAGGTGTCAATCGAAAAGTAACTGATTCACTGCAGGTAAAATATTGTTAATTACGTGGCAAAATATTGCATGTTATAATTATACAAAATATTATATAATTAGTTGACTCAGATCTAAATCGGCCAACAGGAATGTGAATCAATGATTAATCGACCGTCAAAATTTTAATTGAACACAGGTCGGCTCCATCGCATGCGCCAAAAAACTGGGACATGAATGCCTTTCTCACTGGTGTAATGTGTCATTATAAATGGCAATGAAGTCATATGCCTCAGGAGACAGTAAGTAAAGCGTTAATTCTCGTTGAGCATTTTTTGTGTCAGTGGTTTATGGTTGCAAGTGATTCTATATATCTGGAAAAATGCTGCCTTTGGACGTGTTCAGTAGTTAATACTGAGCTCAGTTCTGTTCGCTGTCAATAGCGGAATGATGTGAATGCGCCTGGGGTGCAAATTTCCAGCTAGTTATCTCATCGATGAAAATGGACATTAGTTGAGCATAACGGCAAAATGAACGCTACCCGACGGGATAGTTCAATGCCGCAGATTCCAGTGACAGCAGGCTGATTCCAGCAACAAAACTCGTCCAAATTCAACCTTCAGGCTCGTAACTGGCCGGAGTGAAACTAAATCGTTTGACACAAAATTTCAAGCTGAGTTGGATTTGTGTGACTTCACTATAAACAATCGAGCCATTTGACCTCCACACAGCATGTCTCCACAACAGCACCGCATGACTATAGATGCAATCATTGTGGCATCCTTGGACGGGCGTGTAGGCATTCGCCCACACATAATTGATACGGATAGTGGATTGTTACGGCTCATGAAAGAACACATGACCGCATGGTCGATACCTTCGCCCTACCAATGATGGAAGGTGTGTCCGAGATCATACCAACTGTATTCAATACCAGCCTGATTTTGCTGAAAGATGCCTTTCGAGAAGGTGCATCATGCCGTCCCTTCCCAGCATTCTCCATGCATAATTTCCCATGGCTCACAAGGTGACCTCTCCAATTTGCACTTCGGTTTTCGGCGCAGGGCGCCTCTACGGGAGGCCCAGCCCCGGCACTGATTGGTCTAATCTCCGCACTTGACTATGCAGTCGTGACGTAGCCCTGCATAAGTTGGTCGTTACGGATGAATGTGAAGAGAAGATCGGTGGGAAGACCGGGCCGCCGGCTACGCCTTTAGCGGCCTATATATACAGCCGCGCATGCAACCGAGGTCCAGGCCTCCGCCCCGCTCCACAACAACAGGTGAGTGTCTGACACTGTCGCTGCCTCACTTGGGCTGTCCGTATCACTGACTGTGGCTGTGAAGGAAGAAAGTAACGATCGGAATTGGTTTCAACATTATCTGGTATTTCATTCCTGACATCGCTTATTATTTTTCTGACTTGCTTTACAAATAAATTAAACTTTTTTGTGCAGCGGGCTTCAATATTATGAAGCAAAGGTATGATTTCCTGGCGTGCTACACGCCAACAAAGTTATGCTTTGTTCCCGGCGGTATGGAAAACGTATCCATTATGAGGCATTGGTGCTCTTCTACACAAATACCACAACTTCATGCGTTGCATCCCTTGTTTAAGCAACTGGCCAGTGCGTCGGTTCGCTGCAGCGCGCACTGTGCTAAAACGAGCTGAGATGTGACCGAACTATCTAGCTCAGCAGCATTCAACATGTAAATGTCTTTTACGCTCCATATGAAGGCCGAGAATGCACTCCTCTTGTTCTGTGACGAAGTTAGTGTCATGCGTCCATTTATTATTTGACATGTCATAAGATGCCGCACTGTAGTTGTGGATATCATTGCCCAGTTAAAGGAAGTGTTCGACATTTGTTAGTGGTTTTGAACCGTTATGACCATTTTGAAGATCATTCAGTAAAGTGTGCGACCCTGCCTAAGACTTAAAACTATCTGGTTTCTTAGTTAAACGCCCGCGGACTTCTGCAGACTATTTCGTGCAGACTTTTGCACATCCCTTGATTAAGTTGAAATGAATAAAAGCAGATGCGGTCCCTTACATTATACAACAAATTTGCCTTGATGAAGGACACAAGAGGAGTGCAGAAGAATGGAGTATCTTCGAAAGCTTTTTATGTCATGACGCATATGCCTTTTCCCAATCCATTGCTCATGCAACAGACAGAAGGATCGATGTAGATGTACATATATATATCCGCTTACCACGATAATTGGCATGTGGGCAAGCTCCATATTCATTTTTAACGGTGCTCTTGGCGCTTTGTTGTGCTATTGACACGTGTAACTTTGCATCAAGGAAGCCAATGCATTACAAAAATGAGTGCCGAACAAGAGGCGTGCAATATGATTGAAATAAGCTTGGAAGCACATGCGTAAAAGTGTCATCTAATTGCGCGATAATATAACAACAATAATTGTGATAATTGTGCAATTGCGTAATAAGCTTGGTGTCATAGCGTGCCATGATATGCGTGTCTGGCACACCTACCTCGATATGATTTACGAGACGCATTTAACTCATACACAACATAACTGAGCAAATACCAGACTGAGCGAGCGGGATCTGTTCAAATTAAATCGTTATGCAACCAGCAAACGTGCACCAAGCTTAAGAGATGCCCAATTGCGTAATATGTCTTTTTCATCTCAGACGGCTCGACAAGGCCAACCCATGACACTGATCGTTACGCTGCATTGCTCTGGTCTTCATTTTTACCCTTATTTCATATATCGACGTCCTTGACGTCCTTGACTTAGCCCCACTGCGCTCGAGCTGTGCTGCGAGGGCCTTCGTCGGCGCCTGGGTCTGCCAGATGAGGACGATGAGTGGATCGGTGGCTACCAACAGGTGGTGGAATCTGCGCATTACCGATTCTGTTTGTTACGAGCTTCATGCACTTCCTGGATTTGCGTGCCCATTGACAGTGACAATTTTTTGTTCTCGTCCGCTCGATAAATGGATATATATATATATATATATATATATATATACCTAAAACATATATATATATATATATATATATATATATATATATATATATAGATAAAACATACATATTAATATCAACAGATGAATAAATAACTAAATATGATGGCATATAGACCCACTGACATAGTGACACAAGCAACCGAGCCTTCTCATACGATATATTGCGACTTTTAGATTATATGTAATACGTGTGCGCCCCCCGCGATAAATTCAGGATCAATAAGGGGAGTTTGGGCACAGACATATAACATTAATTGGAGAGGCATATAAGGGATGACCAAGGACAGTGTCGGGCAAGATAGATAAGAGGCAAATAGCACGGTTCAAGATTTTATGATAGGTTATCCGTTACAATCATCTGCCCGTGATCGCAACATAATTTCGAAAATCCGACTAACAAAAAGTCACAAAGGCAAGGTGAAGTAAGGCAGAGCAAAACTTCATGTGACCTACTTTGGCAACTCATCTGTACACGCCGAAACTTTTTGACAGAATTCCTAGAATGACAATACGCTTGAACACCTTATTTCACATTTGTATATCCACAAGGCAAGTGGACGGTGTATCCTAACAGTCTTTTCGGCATTACAAACTGAGCTATAAACCCACGCAGCCCTATCTGCAGAAGGTTACACAAAATTGCAGGTGGTTAAAGGACGTATCGCTTCTGTGGAATCCCTTACGGTTCCACTGACGCCTCCACACGTCACGATCGGTACACAGATGGCAGCACTGGCGCTGGGCTGGCGAGGTGCCAACGCCTCCACGGTGCCGACGTACCCGTTAGCATGCAGGGTGCTCTTGGCCCACGGCGGACACGGCACATGGCTCGTAGCAGATAGTCGCAGGACAGGCCAAGATGGCGGCGCCAAACGACGGGTCCGCCTGCCACCGTCTGGTGGTGACCACGTGACCACGGCGACCATCTTGTCGTGCTGGGTTACAACACGGCAGTGACCAGAAGCGTTGCCGTTGCCATCGCGAGCGAGTGCGTAACGTTCTGTGCGAGTTATTACACACTAAGAATCTTCACTTTCTGTTTTTAACATATTCGGTAGATATTGTTTGTCATCGACCCATTGAACACACCTTATCACGAGCACTGGAGGTTTACGCTTACGGAGAGCGCAGTCACCATTAGAAGACATGGTGACCGACAGGTAGCGATGGAGCTTAGTGCAGAGGGGATTAAGCTAGACCTCTTGCAAACGATTTTATTGAATCCAATCACACCAAAAGTGTGCAGTGAGATTAATTTAAAATCCGTGCCAGACTTGCAATGTGACAGTACTAGATTGACAACTTCAATGATGTAATATCTATTTTGCAGCCCTAACTACGGGGAACGTTTCCTTTCCTTTCCATACAAAATTATCACATAATGTGGGTTTGAAAACCGAAAGCGAACGGTGATCTTTTCGCTCCGTTGTTTTCGATTAGTGCATAATGCTCAAAAGCTCACTCAGTTGCCCTCTTGCCTTGCTTACGCCACGCGTGCATATTTTGATTACTCTCACATACGCGCATATTCACGATGAGGAATCACGATTTCACGCGCGTATATTCCGCGATGAGGAATTGAGGACTACGGACGCGTCACCTCAACGTCTCTGGACCGCCCGCGCTGACGGCGATGAGGTGCGTTCGCACATTGCCGGTGCGAGATGACCGGCTCGCCGCTCCCGCTGACGCCTCGTCTGCCCTGCCCTCAGGTCACCATGAAGCGCTTCGTCATCCTGCTGAGCGTCGTCTGCGTCGTCAGCTGCGGCGTAACCAACTACGACGACAGGGGCAGCGTCAGCGGCGGCGGCGGCGGTGGCGGTGGTGGAGGCGGCGGCGGCGGCGGCGGCGGCGGTGGCGGCGGCGGAGGCGGCGGTGGCAGCGGCAGCGGCAGCGGCAGCGGTAGCGGCAGCAGCAGCGGCGGCGGCGGCGGCGGCGGCGGCGGTGGTGGTGGTGGCGGTGGCGGCGACAGCGGCAGCGGTAGCGGTAGCGGCAGTGGCAGCGGCAGCGGCATTGCCAGTGGAGGTGGCGGGGGCGGCGGAGGTGGTGGTGGAGGTAGCGACCTCGGAGAAGGACATCTTGGAGGTGGCAGCTCTGGAGGAGGACATCTTGGAGGTGGCAGCTCTGGAGGAGGACATCTTGGAGGTGGCAGCTCTGGAGGAGGACATCTTGGAGGTGGCAGCTCTGGAGGTGGAAATGCTGGCGGAGGCAACCTCGGGGGTGGAAACCTGGGAGGAGCAGGCCCTACTGGAGGTGCAGTTGTCGGAGGAGGCCCACATACTGGCTTGGGAGGTGGAGGAGGTCACGGTGGAGGAGCCTTGGCCACAGGAGCTCACGGCGGAGGGTCTGGTGCGCCTGGTGGCGCGGGTGGTCTCGCCGGTCTGCTCGGCGCCGCAGGAGGTTTTGGCGGCGGCTCTTCCTTTGGTAGCGCTGGCGCTATCAGCAATCAGTTCGCCGGCCTCCCAGGTTTCGGCACGGCTACGGGATCTGCCGCCGGCAACGTGGCCTCGGCTGAAAGCGTAGGCCCGGGTGGCTCGACGTCATTCACCAGCACTAGTGCCGTCGCGGAGGTAAGTCCTCGCTACGGTTTTCTGCGGTCAGGTGACGTGACCCGGCTTTAAAATCCGAGCCTCATGTAACGGCGTCGTGTTATGTAACGCCCAAGCTATTTGAGTGAAGAAGGAATGCGGTAGGGGAAGGAAACGTGACTTTTGCATCACGGGCGCCGGCAGGGGCACAGGGAACGCGTGCCCACGATCTTAGGTCCCGAGCGGCCAGAAGGTTTGGAAGGGACCCCAGCCCAAAGGTCCGAGCTCCGAAATGTTAGTCAGAGGGCTTCTAGCGTCGATTTTGGGCCTTTGGTGGTATGAGGGTCTCTATGTCGGCCAGAAGCCACAGTTAACAAACTGTCGGCTTATTTCCCAAGCGAGGCTCGCGAATTTCACTGCAGACCTCTTGCACTGTCTGTAACATTCACCCAAGCTGGAGGCCTGCAGTACGTGACAGGGGATTCGGTGCCGGCAAGGGACGCCGAGTCAGCCAGGGGATTATTTGCTGAACAGCAATAGAGACGGGAATTCAACTTTCAGTGGTTCTCTCGCGTTGATCGCAGCCCTCCGACAGTAAAAAGAGTTATGGCGAACGACAGTGAAAGGGCTCACAATGGGCCAAGGAAAGGCTGCGTGTTGGTCAGGGGCCCCGGTACCGAACGCAGTCCTTCCACATCGTTTCAGCCAGCGGCCTCATAAGCCGGACCGAGGTGCCTGCGCCAGTAGGCGTTTCCTTACCGTTCGATACTATAAATCGAAATGAGAAGAAAAAAATGTTTGCATAGGCAGCTCGCGTGTGCCGGTTGGCGCGCATCCATTGTTAGAATCGATTGATGAAAAAGTGATATCAAGGGTGAGCATGCGCGTTCGCAACTTTTGGTGATAGCCCCCAAGCGCCGAGTTGGAATCTCCGTCGAACCGAGCGGCGGTAGCAGCCGCAGCTTGTACTACGTGTCAGACGTCCTCCGCAAGATCGAGATGTCGTCGGAAAGTTATGCTTATAAAAATGTTAAGTTTTTTACCACCGAGTACCCTTGCACTGCGTGTATATGACCCGAGCATCCTTGCGGTCCATCCTTTGGACGGATTAGGAGTTGCATCAACGCGAACAGTGTGCGGAGATATCACCATCGCGTACGAAGTTCGCGCTTCGAGTATTGTTCGCTTGGGCACCAAACTGAAAGTTGGACAGATGACATCTGCTGAGCATAGCGTTTTCTATAAGCACGAATCAGTTTCATACAAAGCGGGGAGCACTTGAAGCTTCCAAGATGTTTCCGCTTTCGTCCAGAGCTTTTCAACCGCCCGGTGTTAGTTGCGTAGGGTTCCGTATAATGGCTAATGGAGACTGCAGCGCCTAGTATCGGTGTTTTTGCTCTTTGAGGCTGCGCTCGCGCAAGCCCGGAACTATGTCATTTTATTTATTTCTAGTCGATCATTGGGCAACGATGAACATATCAAGCGAGCAATGATAAGCCGTTTTAGTTCAACTTTTCGACAGCGCTTCGATCAAAGGAAATGTGCAATCAATATGGCCTCCCAATATCTGTGCAGAACACGAAACAATCAAGAAACGCCTCTGACCCTAGCTGCACCCCCGCTCTGTAGCACAACTGATATGTTTTAAGTCCGCAACTAATCTGAGTCAGTGGCTTAAAATCGCCTGCTCAATCCTGTTCCATCGCTCAGAGTGTAACGCACGTGTTCTTTGTTGCAGGGCTCCGCCGCGCTCGGGGGCAGCAGCACTAACGCGGCGCTGGCCACCAGTGCTCAGGCCAGCGGCCCTCTGGGCAAAGTCTCAACCTCGAACACTGGAGCTGTCTCCAATCAGAAGACTGACGGGACTTACCACTGAGCGGCCGGCGGTCACTACCAATGCCATACCGGAGCACAGCGCTCCTAGCCAGTAGCCAATCAAGAACAGCGTCTGACCGGTGGATGTTAGTGTCGACCAAGAGCGGACTTCAAACACCAATCTTTCCGTGAATAACACATGTCTGAGTATGCTCGATTCCCCATGCAATGTGGTGTCGCATCGGACTCCTGAGGAATACACATTTTGGTTTGGTGCTTGCGTATGAACAAGATGCGCAGTTCCCTTTCTTCCCCCCCCCCCCTCCCCCCGCCTTTCGAGTAGAACAGTCCTATATGTGAGTCCCATGGCATTAGTGCTACAACAAAAACTCCTACCGGCAAGGGTGCACGACACCATTTCCACTGTCAATACAGATACTTGACATTGGTGCTACGCGACCAAACTTATGCTGCAAAGATTCATACTCGTCATTTCTTCTATTGTAAACAGTTATTCAAGTATAACTTATACACGACATTGCAAAAACGTATACAGATATTCCGTATGCACGGAATTATTTCTACAGCAAAGACTTTTACGCGAAATCAGTGCCACACCGCAAAATTAATGCGTCAAAAATGTCAGCTATAACTCATTGCAGTTGACATAATGTCGCGAAAACTGTATAAATGTTTGCTGTAAAGTAATGCCGGGCATAAGTTTTTACAGCATACGCAATGACTTGTATAAGCTTTTTAAGCATAAATTTTGTCGTGTAGCACTCATGTAGTGTATAATTATTTGTAGTAGAGAAAAATGTCAGGGTAAAGTAGGGTCTGGACAAGTTTTTTTGTGGTAAAAGTAATGTCGGGTATAACTGACGTCGTACCACCCTGTTGGTCGGAGCTTTTGGCGTAGCCCTGATGTCATGACACACCAAATATGTATCTTCCGTTTTACCAAATACGCGAAACAGGTACTAGCGGACATTCTTTTACAGGAGTATACTTTTAAGACAGTAGTGTTAGCCTTATTTCTCGGAAAAAGGAAAATGGAGATAAAGCTTGGTTACAGTTTGGAGACATAGTTCCCTGGTTTTTCTGAGGAAGAAGGTCAATAGTACTGTCTCTGTGAATAATGTTCTTCCCTAATGCACTGAACAACTTTCGTAATTTTGAAGTATATTTTTGCAAAAGGAGTTCGGAGTTGAGGGCCTTCAGCGGGTCAAGTGGCTAAGGTTTTCTCCAAAATATACCCACAACGGTTCTCTACCCGAAAAGGACACTTTTTGGCGGAGCCGACGTGCATGCAGTTTCAAACTATGCAGTAAGCTACACTACTGCTAACGTATGTTTCAACCCATTACCCTTAGTCCCTGCGGATTGCGAGCGTTAAACCTGCGGAGGGGGAGGGAGGGACAAGAGATTGAGGCTCTGCAGAATATACCACCACTCCCGTGGCGGCATGCTTCTTAGATATATCAAAAACTGCTTTCACAACTTTAGTGGGAGAAACGCAATTATATGTGTCGTAATATATATATATATATATATATATATATATATATATATATATATATATATATATATATTGGTTAGTGTGACAGTGGGGAGTAAATATCAGACATGATTTTCTAAAACCGCAGTTCACAAAATAATCAGTCATTTGCATTGGTACAAGCACGACACGACAAGGACGGCTTGAAATGCCTGGGTAGTTAATATGTTTAAGACTGATAACTAGCTTGACTGTTTTAGACGGTTCCTGAGAAAATAAGTAGGGGCGATTTTTCAAATAATATATGCAACATGCGTTTATTCGGGGTGTATTTTGGAAGGCATCAACGTTAGGTATAAGTTTGCAAGCCAGGCTATGGTGTTCAACATCTTGCACAATGGATCCAGGTAAGCCATATGAATGAAGGACCATTAGCGACACTTTTCTTCACCGACCCACAGCCTAGCTCTCTCATCTTGTGACCTCTGAGTGCCCTCTTATCAAATATTATGAATTTCAGCAGCGTTGTATGCATGCGTGTGTGTGTGTGTGTGGTTGCAAAACCATAATTCGCATCATTGTTTAACCCGTAAATCCGACGAAAGTATACTGCACATGCGCACTTCTCTTTCAACTAAGCCAACGCAAACAGCCCCAGAAGCGGGAGCCTGTAGCCACGTATTGGAATGTTTTATCGTTGAGAGTCTGACGCAATGCACACATGTGGAGATGATTACAACATGCGCTAGCGTGGCGTGCGAACAAAACATTCTGCGGATTATGCACAGGTGTTTTCCTACGTCGCTTTACCACCTAGTGGTCATCTTTCAGAATGGGGCCTTATTTATGATGCTCAAGACCATTTAATGAGTCTGAGACTTTTGTTGCATCCCAAAATGTCACGCAAATGCATATTTTCTTCATAAAAATGCGAAAAACTCCGCAGCGTTGCAGCTAGCTGTTCAGAAGCGGCAAGCAATCAACCACTGGCGGCAGTGCAGGATTTATCTCACCCATGAAATATGGTTAAATGTCACCACGTGTTTGCTTAGACGACGTCTACACGGAGTCCTAATTAACTGATTGAAAACGAACGGCAGGCTCATGGTCAACTTGGCTGGTCTCACTCCTATGCGGTGCTTCCGCTGTATGTAGTGTTCTATGCAGTGCTTCCGCTGTATGTAATGTTCTATGCGGTGCATCCGCTGTATGTGATGTTCTATGCGGTGCTTCCGCTGTATGTAATGTTCTATGCGGTGCTTCCGCTGTATGTGATGTTCTATGCGGTACTTCCGCTGTATGTGATGTTCTATGCGGTGCTTCCGCTGTATGTGATGTTCTATGCGGTGCTTCCGCTGTATGTGATGTTCTATGCGGTGCTTCCGCTGTATGTAATGTCCGCGGAGCCCGTCCAGCTCAGCAAGTCTCTCCTGCAGCGGACGTGCAGTCCCAGCTTCATACAATCTGGTCGCGTCCTTCTCCGGGCCTGAAGCCCTGTCCATTTTCAGAATGCGCGCGGTTGGAATAATCCCCGTCCCCGCAACAAGCTGGCACGTGTCTGGCCGGTACGTCGGACGCTCATGTCATGCGCGAGAAGGACTTAAACATGATTATATGGTTAACGTACTGCAGGATCTCTGCAACCATCTTCTCCCAATCTTTTGAGCCTGCCAAATGAGTAAAGCTGTCAATTTTCACACGCATAAAAGGAAGTAAACTCAGCTACTAAAAATTGCAGAACGATGCTTTAAAACATGCATAACATATTCTTGAAAAGCCCCGACCCTTTAGATCATGCGAGAATGAAGTTATTTTTGTCATTTTCACAGAAGCTAGCAATAATTTGTCAAGAACGCAATGAGTGCAATAATTTGGCTGCTGAGCGCCGGCAGCCAAGCGTCCCGACGCGGACGCATCAGGAGTGGCGTGCCATCGGAGTCTGACGGTGCCAACTCTGCATGTCTGGAGAGGCACCCCTGTAAACACAAGTCCACTGTATGCCACTACGATGTACAATATCCGGTGGTCGGCCACTAGCTAAACATAACACCTGGCCGCACGCGGGCCGGGCGTCGTCACCGCCACGTCAGTCCGGGTAGACTGTGCGCATTGCACGAGTGGTGCTACACTCAAGGATTGTGTACTATGATGAGGAGGATTTGTTATCTGGGTTTGTCTTCGCTCGTGTTTTTGCTCAGCTCCTCAAAGCTTTGCCGGTCTATACTTGTCTGGCCGCTCTGCAGGTCGGCGATATTCTTCGCCTAACGGTTTGGAAAATTTGGGCCCACCGACCGTATCTTGAAGATCCGGATTCTTGAAATCCCGGTTCGAGTTCATATGGGTGGACCCAAGTTTACCGCACAACCAGGCGGAGAAAACGGTCAGCTCCATCGCGACCCAAGAGTTCTTGCCCACCAAAGCTGAGGTGGCCGAAAACAAAGACAAAAATTATGCACTCGATCGAAGACTGGAATCATCGCGCTCAATCAGAAGCATCCAGTTTTCCCGAAACTCATGGAATGTGGAGGGCCGACATGTTCGTGAAGTAAATGGGCAAGACTGTCTCGATTTCATTGAAAAAATTATCAGAACTGGGATTTGATCTCGTTCCCGCGGAAATCCTTTCCAGCACCTAAATCTGCGAGGGCTTCGCCAGGCAAGTCCAGATATTGCAGGGGACACTCTTGTAATAATTGAATGCAAGATTACCTAATTACAAGGTTAAGTGGGTAACGTTGCTGCTCTTTGGAACCTGTAGTTCGGTCATACAGAGGGATGGGGACTGAAATCCTACCGTATCGCTTCTATTCGTCGAAACGCGCTGCCGCGATATGTGATAACGATGCCCAAGAGTGATAAGACAGGCCTGCAGGTGGGCTGACTTGGTTTACAAACGTGAGAGCCGTATTCTGCAAAAATGCTACAATCTGCTTCCTGGAGATCCCTGCCCACGTCCACACCTACCCGCAGGTGCGACGTGGCAAGCCCGGGTGTCCGCGGCGCTGCCCGTGAGCTGTACACACGCGACATGCACACGGCCAATCGACGGCCATATCTGCGGCATGCCCGTGGCAGCCTGGATCAGCTGCACTCACGGGTAATCCGTGCATGGGCTTCAACATAAGTCGGACTTTCGCAGGCTTTGCACGGGACGGCGACGTCACTGGTGCCGAGACTTCGGCGAGGTGCGGTTGCCACGCGACGTCACTCGTGCCGAGGCTTCAGTGAGGTGCGGTCGCCAATGTGCGGTCAGTGCGGTGCGGTTGCCAGCTGCAGGGCTAATGCTGCGGGACAGCCGGAATGTCGGAAATCCTCGTGCTGATAACGAACAAACTGTTAACGGGAGGTGCATGTGACC